TGTTTCTACTTCAAATAATTATTTAAGTTTAGAGAAATGAAAATGTTCTCTGTCCAAGTTTTGGGGGTCAGGTGTATCTGAAGCAGGCCCTGTGTTGCCCTAGAAGCCCCTCCTCTGTTTCTTATGTTTTCTTGCTCAGGCCATGGGCGCTGGTACACCCCATACTTGATCTCTATCTATCCCAGCTCACTGGAAGCAGACTGCTTGAATTATGATTCAGGCAAGAGAGAGGAGACCTCTCTCAGGAGTGGAGAAGGAAGCGATTTACTCCGGGTATTCTCAGCAATGTGCCTGGGAGGTCATCTGTCTGAGCTAAATGAGTTCCACTACTGCAAGGAGCAGGGCGCAGGCGGGAACAGCGAGGACAGGAGTTCCAGAATTGTATTTCTCCCATGGTCCCCCGCCCCACCCTCAAGCTTATCAGTAAATGTGGGGTTGTCATTTGGGCCCCCACATCCCCACAGGAACTCTCTCCCCAAGATTCTGTTTTTTCAGCTGGTCACCTTCAAAGAACACAAACTTGGCCTGAGTTGGCAGCACAGGGATTTTCAAGCTAGATGTCACCTGCCGTTGGGTGAGGTGATGAAGTCTGATCCCGGCCTTAAATCTGTGATTTCCCCTGGCTCTCAGGAATTCTAGATTTTTCCAGGATTTGCCAGAGGGATATTGGTGGTCTCACCAGCAGGAGCCGTGAAGCTCCATTTTTCCGTTTTTACCTTAGAGTGTCACAGCAGGGCACGCATGAGAAGGCACAGGCCCGTAGCAGCACGGGAGCCTTCCAGCCACACTCCGGGTTGCTGTGAGCAGCCTCTAGGGTGTGAACTGAGGGGATCTCAAGGAAGGTAGCAGGCTTTCTGCCTGTACCAGTGAGTTTTTCCATCTCCCTGTTTTTGTCGTATAATGTGGCTTATGTCACGAAATGCCTTTAAACAAAGATCTCCGGTCTTTTCCTGATGTGAAAAAACTTTGAATTTGCCCAATCATAAAATCAAAGTACTACCACACTCACAGCACTTCTGACACCAAATGTGTGGCTTTTCCACATATCAAGCGATTCTCTGACTCCAGCCAGGTCTCCTACAATCCAGTTCAGTTCTGACACAATCTACCTGGAGTTAGCACCACATCCTACANGGTCTTTTCCTGATGTGAAAAAACTTTGAATTTGCCCAATCATAAAATCAAAGTACTACCACACTCACAGCACTTCTGACACCAAATGTGTGGCTTTTCCACATATCAAGCGATTCTCTGACTCCAGCCAGGTCTCCTACAATCCAGTTCAGTTCTGACACTATCTACCTGGAGTTAGCACCACATCCTACAGATGAAGGGCTCAGTCGCACACAGCTGTCCCCACTTCAGGTGCTGGTCACAAGTCCCAGGTTGTCACCTTTACTTCTAACTTACCAGATGTAAACTGGGGTTCCCATGACCCACTCCTTGGGCTCAGTAATTAGCTAGAATGGCTCAGAAAACTCAGGGCAACACTTGCTTATATTTGCTGGTTTGTTATAAAGGATATAATAAAAGTTATGAATGAACAGCCATATGCAGAGATATGCAGGGCCACCACCATCTCAGCAGATAAATGTGTTCACCAACCCAGAAGCTGCCCAAACCTGGTACTATTGGAACTTTCATGGAGGCCACATCATGTAGGCATAGTTGGTTATTAATCCCATTTCCAGGCCCCTTCACTTCCCAGAGAACAGCGAGGTGGGGCTGGAAGCTCCCAGCTGCAATCATGGCTCGGTCTTTCTGGTGACCAGCCACCATCCAGGCTCCCACCAAGGATCCCCTCATTAGGAGAAAAGACATTGCTATAACTCAGGAAATTTAAAAGGTCTTAAGACCCCTATGTCAGGAGCCAGGGGCAAGGACCAAGGTATATTTCTTATTGCACAAACAGAGACCTAATTTTATGAGTATGGAACTGAAGACCAGATTGTTGAAGCAAGTTGCCCAAGATCCTGCAGCTAAAGGACAGCAAGGTCCACATTAGAATCTAGGGTCCCTGACCTCCTATGCAGAGCATTTCCCACTTCTCCACACTGTCTTCCTTCCCATGGCTGGTGGAGAGGGCCAGTGGGTAGAACCATGAAGGCAGATGATTAATGCATGGGACCAAGTCACTAACAAAAAGAGCAGGGAACAACTCTATGCCAAACAGAGAAAGCACCAAGAGCTGCACACCTCGATCGCTGATGTAGACTGTCGATGCTTTTTTATATTACGCAAGTGTGAAAACACAGCTTCTAGACACATGCCCTAGCTAGGCCCTGCTTTCAGACTGCTAACCCTAATCTCCACTGCTTCTATGGACGTTGCGTAAGTTGTCTTTTTCGATACTCACAACAACTATATGAATTAGGTAATCTCATTTTCATTGATAACAAAACTGAGGCTCAGAAAAGATGCAGAGCCGTCAAGTGGTAGAGCTGGGATTGGAATACAGGGCCAGCTCTGTGCAAAGCTCAAGTTCTTTTACCATTTTATGCTGCTTCCCTGCTGAGAATGCTAATGAGCTTCAGAGAGTGGGGAGGGGGCAAGTGGAAGCGGCTGGTTTGAGGATCAGCCAGGCAAGTCTGCAAGGCCTGAAGGACTGCCCAGCTGCCCTTCAGGAGCTGTGGGTTGGGCTGTAGCTGGGGTGAAAGTCCAAGGGAGAAAACAAGCTAACCCCAGCCAGAGAAAGCTGATCCTCCTTCCCCCGGAGTGTGGTCTCTGGCTGTATTGACTTCTCTCTGATGGGTAGGGTAGAGTAGCGCACCCACGCCCACTGACTTGATAGGAGAGAAAGGACTGATTTGATGATAAATGGGATTAAATATTATGCCCTATTCCTTTGTCAGGAAGAAAATCAATAGCTACATACTCTGCATGGTATGTCTCCTTAGGGAAAATTCCCTAAAATTTGCATTTGGACCTGAGCCTTGCTGACTCTGATGACAGAACCAGCCACTTAATAAGTTCATCTGGTTCACGTTGCAGGAATGATGGACACTCATAATTCAGGACATGCCAATTCTCTGTCTCCCCAGTAGTAAAACCATCCCTTTCGACAGACTTTGACATGGAGTTCAGCGAGGAGACCCCTGCCCATTAGGGCCACATTTTCACTGTAGTAGGCCCTTTCTGCAATAGAAAATAGTAAAATTATACTTTATGTCTACACTGATATGAAGACAAATATATTAATGTTATTTATTAAAACATTTTCCTGACCTAAAGGTTCTTTGTCTTCTTAATTTAAAAGAAATTAAAACATTTTCACTGGCCTCAGAAAGCCTTGCGGGCCCTAGGCCCGGGGCGGCCTGTGCCTAATGGAGAACTTGGCCCTGTGGCCCAGCACTGTGGCTCTGCTCTGTCCCACCCCCCGTGACCTCGTTTACTCACCCAAGCAGAGTGTATTTGCTGAAGGACAGTCACAGCACAGTGCCTTTCCTCCCTGAAGAAAACCAAGTAATAAAAAAACTGTCAGGGGAAGAGACCCTGAGAAAGCTGAGGACTGAGTCTCCACTGGGACTTTACCACGTGACCCCTCATTTGCCCCCTGGAGAGACGATTCTCTCAGGGCTATGTAGAAGGTCAAAGGGAACAGAGGTAGGATGAGGAGCAGGAGTGAAAGTTCATTACTTTCTAACAGTGAAAACAGCCAAAGGCAAGCCAAAGCCTTGACCTGAGGGATGGGGAGGTCACCCAGGGAAGCAGCCGGAAGGGGCTCCTGCCCAGGGCACTCCAGAGGATGGCTGCGTCAGATTACGCTTGTGTAAGAAGATAGAGGAAATTCAGAAGGGCGAGGGAGCTCAGCCATTCCTGGCAGTCCGCTCTTCATTTCGACAGACTTTGACATGGAGTTCAGGGAGGAGACCCCTGCCCATCAGGGCCACATTTTCACTGTAGTAGGCCCTTTCTGCAATAGAAAATAGTAAAATTATACTTTATGTCTACACTGATATGAAGACAAATATATTAATGTTATTTATTAAAACATTTTCCTGACCTAAAGGTTCTTTGTCTTCTTAATTTAAAAGAAATTAAAACATTTTCACTGGCCTCAGAAAGCCTTGCGGGCCCTAGGCCCGGGGCGGCCTGTGCCTAATGGAGAACTTGGCCCTGTGGCCCAGCACTGTGGCTCTGCTCTGTCCCACCCCCCGTGACCTCGTTTACTCACCCAAGCAGAGTGTATTTGCTGAAGGACAGTCACAGCACAGTGCCTTTCCTCCCTGAAGAAAACCAAGTAATAAAAAAACTGTCAGGGGAAGAGACCCTGAGAAAGCTGAGGACTGAGTCTCCACTGGGACTTTACCACGTGACCCCTCATTTGCCCCCTGGAGAGACGATTCTCTCAGGGCTATGTAGAAGGTCAAAGGGAACAGAGGTAGGATGAGGAGCAGGAGTGAAAGTTCATTACTTTCTAACAGTGAAAACAGCCAAAGGCAAGCCAAAGCCTTGACCTGAGGGATGGGGAGGTCACCCAGGGAAGCAGCCGGAAGGGGCTCCTGCCCAGGGCACTCCAGAGGATGGCTGCGTCAGATTACGCTTGTGTAAGAAGATAGAGGAAATTCAGAAGGGCGAGGGAGCTCAGCCATTCCTGGCAGTCCGCTCTTCGAGAGAGAGAGAGAGAGAGAGAAGCAGCCAGAACAGGGGAGGGGACAATGTGACATAGGTTCTCTGGAGAGCTGCCCTGGGTGGGGTGGCCACACCGCAGGCACACAGGCACATTGGACGCTGTGGACTGAGGGACAGAGGGCACCAGGTGGAAAGGGTGGAGCCAACCAGATGGCAAAAGGTTTGGAGGAACACGAGTGACCTCTCTCCGGGGCCAGAATTTGAATGCGAACCAGCTTCATGAAATGTCCAGTATGGTTGGGTTTTTCATAGCAAACAGAGAAGGAGCCGAGCTTTGTGACCAGCTTGGAGACCAGCTGAAAGCCAGACAAGAGTAGACATGCAGGAGCGAGCAGTGAGAGACATACCAGAAGGGAGGTGAGGAGCAGACCGGAACCTGGGGAAGGGCTTCTAGCAGCCGCAAGCAGGGCCGTCTGGTCGGCAGGCTCCACTGGAACAGGGCCTCTGGCAGATGAGATCTTTTCAAAGGCCCCTGAAAACACATGAGATGAGAAAAAGTGTTCATGGCTCTCAAAGACAAAGAGAAAAGTCTAAAATTGAAACTAGTGTATTTTAGTGAAATGTCTATGAAACATATATTATGTCAGCTTCATTCATTTTTAAATTCAGTATTTATAAATTCTTCATATTTGAAGATCCTGCTATAGTTTGATTTTCTGATTCTAATTTCCTGTGCATGTATGATGACAGCCCAGAAGTCATAGCCAATCACATAGGAAATGAATGGGTGGTAGCTAAATAATTTCAGAAGCAAAAATGAATAAAACCCTTTGATTTTTTTCCACAGCAAAAAAAGAAAAATGTTACATTTAATGTGAAGTATGGGTACATTCTAATGTGATGTGAAGTGTATACTCCACAATTTAAAGGTCTGTTATGGTCTGTTATGGTCTGTTACAGAAAGGGATATCAAGGAACAGAGTGGGCAACAGGCCAAGATCACACAGCTGTGTATACGTGACATTATCTTACATAGCAGTCTTTCCATGGTGACTTCTAGGTCGTCTTTCCCAACCTCCCCCACTCTCTCCAGTTATGGTCTGAAACCAGCCCTGGTCACAGATCCTGGATTTGGGGATTAGACAAGTCGAACAAGTAATCTGAGGGGTGGGATGGGGACCGGCTGATACCCGATAATAACTGCATTGGTTGAACTCAGACCCCTCCAGGTCAGAGCCCATCTGTGCACAGTGCTTTCAGCCCCGAATGGCTGGTCAGATGTATGTGCTTATAGATGGTGGGCGTAAAGCTCTCTGGAAGGAAGAGCACCCCGTGCAAGTGTAGTGAACTGTTGGTTCAGTCTCCACAGAAGCCCGTGTAAGTCATGAAGAGAAAGAGAGCCAGAATGAGCAGGTGATCAGTTACTTCTTGGCTGGTGGCAGGTGACTGGCACGAGTCAGGAGGCCTGAGTGTGAGGCAGGGAGCTGCTCGGGCTGTCGGGCCTCTGCTGGGGCCCTGCAGCATCGCTTAGCAGTCGTAGGTCCCCTGATAGCAGCTGGGAGGTACTGTCACCCACTCAAGCACTAACTGCTGACACAGATTACTATTTTGCGTTTGAAGGATGCCTTCTTTTTTTCCCATAATGATTTCACTTATACTTAAGAAAAGGGAAGAGGGTGAAGTAAACAATGCTCTCCTGACTTCTGTCCCCCTCATTTTTGGTCTTTGGTCATGTTCCCAGGCTTATATGGTGCCGTGCCCTGCCTGTCACAGCCAGCTAGGTTTTCCCACTTCCCCAGCCCCTCCCAGCCTCGTTGTTTCTTTGACTGCAGGTTTCTCTGTGAAGCAGCAAAGGGGCCTGGCAGACACCCCCTCAGAACCCTGGCGGGCTGGGCCCAGAGCTGTGAGTGTGGAGAGGGTACATAGAGGTCATACGATGAGGGTGTCACGAGCCTGGAGGGGCTGTGGGAGAATCCAGGCTCCTCCCTTCACCACACCCCGGGGCTCTGGGCAGAGGACCTAAGCCCTGAGGGACCAGTGAGGAGGCGCAGGTTGTAAGGCCGCTGGTGTTTGACTGTTCACCATTGGCCGGTGACCGGGGGACACAGTTCAACAGGAGGCTGGAGCCCCTGCCTGACGTGCAGGCCCAGCTTGGTTACTTTTCTTAGAGGCAGCACTCTGAGCATGTTATTCATACAAATGTGGAGTGACCTCAGCCATATTAGGTATCAATACTAAAGGGGAAAAACACACAATAATAACAGGGTTTTTTCTGGGTAGTGGGATCGTAACTTTACTTGCCTTCCTTAAACTTTTCTATGTTTTAAGATATCCTTTCAGTGATTTTAAGTGTTCACATAAGAGGTGCTATACTAGAGGGCTTCATATATGTTATTTTATTTAATCCTCATAACAAATATACAAGATAGATTATATTATCACTATTTTAAAGACAATCCTAGGCTCCAAGTCATTAATTAAGTGCCTTGCATGTGGTCCCACACCTCAGAGGAATCTGACTTCCTCCTCTGACTCCAAAGCTCATGCTAATTTTTGCTTCCTCTGACTCAGCCTAGGAGCCTCTCTGGTAATTGGGTGTAACATCTGAGGGAGGAAGGAATGAGATGATTGGTATGAAAGTCCACTGCAAAGATGAAGCTCCCTACGTGAGTAGCGTGCATTATATTCACTGTGCTGTTCTAACGCTTTGTGTATATCATATTCCTTCAATCATCTCTATGAACCTGTGAAGCAGGTGGCCATTATTATCCCCATTTTACAGCAAAGGGTATCAAGGAACAGAGTGGGCAACAGGCCAAGATCACACAGCTGTGTATACGTGACATTATCTTAGATGGCAGTCTTTCCATGGTGACTTCTGGGTCGTCTTTCCCAACCTCCCCCACTCTCTCCAGGGATGCGCTGCAGGGAAGGGAGCGCATCCTCCTAGATGTCAGATAATCCGCTTGGCTCAGCGGGAGGAGGAGAAGGTGTGGGAGACAGGTGGGCACTGAGCCACGCCTTCCACGTTGTGTACTAACCTCGCTTTCGAAGGACTAGAGGGGATAACCTCGAACTCCTAGGCCACTGCTGCCACCTGCTGTTCACACATTCTCCACCCAGGGGTTCTCCGCAGCGCCTTTCTGCTCCACCCTTGAGATCCTCACTGCCTTTTCCAGACCCCTGCTTTGGCCTGGGTAAAAGAATTTCAACATTTGCTCAGTTTCAAATGAAAGAAGGTAAACCCTTGGCCAAAATAGAAGGGCTCAAATTAAGAGAGTGGAGATTGGCTTCTGGGTCCTGCACCCTTGGGCAAGGCCCTTTGCTTCGTTGAGCCTGTACCTTCATCTGTAAAATGAGAACAATATCAGCTTCATACAATTGTTTTTAAGATGAAAAAAGACTTTTTCCCTGCACAGTCTCCCTTCTCACCAGAAAAACAGTTAGCTATTAAAGGACAAGCCAGGATGGGGAACAATTAAATGTCCCTAAATGCCTAAAATCACCTCTGCTTACACGAACATTTTAAACAATTTTTTAAATGTTTCTCTTAGTAAAGCACTTCCCTTTATATTTTGCTTCTGGTTTTTAATTTATCAAAATGAAGTCTCAAGTCATTTTCTGCGCACTTTATGAGGAGTACCTGAACCAGAATACGTAATAGTGAAAAGAGTATTTGATTTTTTTTAATGGATAAAGCTTCTTTCAGAATTAAAATCACTCCTTCCATTTGAGACTGTCAGAGTTACGTCCAAGATTCTGGTTCACAAGTTTTACATCACTTCTTTCACGCAAAGTGTCTAGCAAATGGACAATGGAAAACTGAGAAAACCGGGAAGGGCTTTTTCCATTCAAGTTCCCTTGGGAACTGATGCAAATAGCAAAGCTAGAGGCCTGGCTCCCCCATCCAGCTATAAATATCACACCAGATTCTGTTTGCCTGCAAATTCCTTCTGGCTGGGTCTAGATGCCAGTAGTTGGATGAGCATCAACTTTCATGTTGCCAATCTAACATTCCTTCCTGTAATATTGGCAACTTTTATTATGGATTCAGTTCAGCGAACTGAAACTCTCTACTGGTGAGATCCAGCAAGTAGATGTAAACTATTTTTGGAATATCCACTCTACTACAACCTCTAGGTTGGGTGTGATCTGGATTCAAGGGGCAGGTCTGGCTGTTCCCATCCTCTAAAAGGGAGGTTGAGTACCACTCATTCTCTCAATTTTGTTAGGGACAAAGTGCTAAATGAAGATACTATCTGCTGCCTGAATTTCTCCTTGTGGGGCCAAAACTTTCTCCTCTAAAATGTAGCCCTTGAAAATTGTCTTTCCTTTATGGAATTAAAAAATGAAAACAACCCTAAGATAGTCTTTGACACCGATGAAATTAGTAAAATTTTATAATATATTTATCAATGCTATAATGTTTGCAATGAAATCAATATCTCTAATAGCATCATAATTTGTGAAATCCCTTCAGAAAACAATAGAAATATGATTTCAGACAAATATGTTGCAATATGAAAGATTTTTCGTACCCTTTGAGCTAATAATTCTATCCTTGAGAATTTATCTTTCAACAAAGGCAAAAGGCTGCATTTAAGAAGCTGTCCATTGCAACACTTTCAATAGTAGTAAAAGAAAGACCTGGAGACAACCTAAGTCCTGACCCAAAGGCCATTATGATTAAGTTCCTGGAATATAATTTTGCCATTAAAATGATAAATATGGAGGCTACGTAGAAATGTGGAGCCATGTTTGCTCTAACTTAAGTGAAAAAAGGCAGAATACCAAATGGTATGCACATTATAATTACAGCCATCTTAAGCTGTCTCTGCTTATGGATGCCAACTGGCTCTAACGGGCAAGTACACAGAGTCGTATGCAGATAGTAGGATTCTGGATTATGTTTATTCCAAATTGTCTTTAATATGGTTACATTATAAAAAGAGAACTGGCCTTTCAGGGCACAGATATTCTATTTCTAGCTACTCTGCAGAGCTCCGCTATTTGGAACAGGGAGGCAGTTATAATCTATTTGGAGAAGGCAAATGATTTCTCATTTCCATCAGTAATAGGTTGCAAAAAAATTCCATCAAGCACCACAATGTTAAAATATGTTCTGTTGTAATTAGAAGAAGCAGATACTATGTAGAAGGAAAAAAACCCCTCTACTTAAGAATCTTGTGTTCCTAAATGTTGATGCGCGCAGAGGTAACCCTCTTGCCAAGGCTCAATGGGAAGAATCATGAAGTGGCTACTCAGTCTGTCAATGTCTGTCTTTACTACAACTTGCCTTTAACTAGCACTTTGTAAATTTCAAAATACTTTTCATCCTTTATCAAATTTAAGCTTCACAGCAACTCCACACAGCAGGTAGTGCATGTAGTATGATGACATTTGATAGAGGGGGACATTGAGGGTCAAAGAGCTAAGTGACGTGCCCCAGTTGCCAACAGCCAAGAAGTGGAAGAGCTGGAACTGTCTGACATCAGAGGACACAACCAGAGTCTCGAGGAATGTCCACGCGTCAGCTCTGAGGTGCAGGGATTATGGAGAAAATACTGATTGACGTTTTAAGGGAAGAAAGGATGGTTTTGCGAGACGTGACTGTTTGGCGTACCTGGGAGAAGAAGCGCACGATGTCTCTTTGGAGAGCCTACTGGTGAGGCGGTGAAGCTAGCGTGCAGGGCAGGTGGAGGAGGATGGCTCAGGACCTCTGTACCCAGAACAGGGGACATTGATGAGAAGGGGACAAAGCTTAAGAAGCACCCGATGGAGACTTTGGAAGGAAGAATAAGTGAGGACCTGAATCTGCGGCACCACGAAGAATCCTTGACCCAGGAAATACAATATGAGCAGAAAATTAGCACTTGTGGCTGGGACTGGTGCAATATTCATGAACCCCCAGACAATGTCATTGTTATCAGTGGAAAAGCCACATGGACATGTAACCACCTGCTGAGAAATTTAGATCCCCTAGACAAAAAATTTCACTTCTCAGACCTCCTCTGTAAAATAAGAGTATGTCTACTTATGTCACAGGATTATTACAGGGATTTGCTTGGAGGTAAAAGTGTTTAGCCATTTTTGGCAAAAAAAAAGTTTAAAAAAACATTTTACTCTTTCATTCACTCTGCCCTTCCCTTCTTATTCCCTAAGGTAGTTCTCAGGACTGGCCCTGGAGCCAAACTCCTAGTTTTCACTCGTGATACAGCCTTAAAAAATCATTTAATCTCTCATTGCGGATCCTCATCTGTAAACTGGAGGCAATGATGATCTCTGCCTCATAAAACTTATTGAGCAAATTATTTAGAATAATGCATATAAAGCATATGACACATAGAACTCCATAAATGACCGTTACTATTAGCATAATACTTGGCACCTAAGAGCTAAATAAATGTTGGTTATCATTATTCAGATTTTAGGGAATGACTAAGGTTATTTTTAGAAGGAGGACAAGGAAGAAAAACTTACATTTAGTGAATGTACACTTGTGCCAGGCGCTTTTCATACAATATGTAATTGAATCTGCGCCAAGCCCTGTGCAGAGGTGTTATCCGGGGTGGGTCTAGAGTGAGGGAGGAGAGGCATTCCGGGTCCGGAATCAAGGAGGCACTGCCTCCCAGGGCTGTGCTGAGGACAGTGAGGCTCGGCAAGGGTGACTTGGTGACAAAGCGGTAAGCGACAGAGATGGGATTTACCCTCCAGGCTGCGGCCGAAGCCAAAATAGAAAGACCATGGGGCTTCCTTCCTATGGGTTCTCATCCCTATACTGCCCAGCCTGTTCTAGAAAGTTCCCAACTGGAATTTTCCTGGTTCAAGTCCCTAAAATGTTCTAAGTTTTTCTCTCCAAAAGAAAGCAATAGCCCTGCTGCTATAGCTACACTTAAAACTTCTTGAAAGCATTACAATAAGGGCCTCTTAGGATTTTCTCAGTAAGCCCAGACTTCTAACTACTTAATAAAAGAAAAAAAGCCTCTTAGGACAAAAATGGGAAGTTATGATCGATCTTTCAAAGAGAAGCTAAACCTTTGACCTCACACCATGAAGAATGCCTTTGGAGGCCATTGTTATCACTGGAATGAGTCCTTCAGGCCTGCACTTGGGGTGTTTCCCAACACCCTCTTTACCTAACATGTGAAATGACTCTGGGGATAAGAAAATCCACCTGCAGTTTATTTCTCCCTTTTCTTAGGATGGAAAGATTGGCAGAAGAACTATGGAACAGAGCGTTGAATCCAAGGTAGAAGCCAGCTTCTTAGAATTTGTGGCCTGGCGGGGAGAGGGGTTTCTCTGGGAATTCCTGAAGCATTTTTATGACTAACCAACCCAAGAGCAGGACAAACCTTTGAAAGACACAATTACAGTCTATTTGGATAACCTTTCTGGAGCCTGAGGGTAGGGTCCGGAAGGAAAGGTGCCCCTCGCTCCGCCCTGTCTCAGGAAGGGAAGTTGAGCAGAGAAATGAGTTACTGCGAAGGAATGTGCCAAAAAAAACCCAAAAAAAACAGATGTTTCAAGATTTATTGATTTCTCTAGAAATACTCTATGGACTGAATCATGTCCCCCCAAATTCATAAGTTGCAGCTCTAATTCCCAATGCGACTGTATTTGGGGGTGGGACCCATACGGAAGTAATTAAGATTAGCTGAGATCTCAA